GACGATACTATGTCCTTGTCATCCTTAGAATATGGTAAGTTTAAAATCTTGAAAAAGTCCATGGAGACCATTAACAAGGGCGTCAAGTTGATTAGTAAAGGGTACGTAAATAACATCAGGGTACGTGAAGAGTTATGTTCCTGCCAAGATCATCAGAGAGAAGATAACTCATCAAATTTCCAATCCAGTGAAGCTCAAGGTGCAGACATAGAAGATGGGAATGGGGAAGATGAAGATGATGCGGATGAATCAAAGGATGAAGTGGAGGGCAATGATGATGTGGCACATGATCATAGGGAAGGGCATGGTATGTCAAAAAAGGGCAGCAGTGGCAGTTCAGTTGCTTTGTCAGTAGTAAACGAGACATGTTATGAAGTGGGGGACCCAAGAGTAGTTGGGACAGGTCTAGGAAAAGAGTAAAGCATGCATAGGATATTGTTTAAAAACAATATCAGGGGAAGTAGAAGAGCTCTAGAGCATGGGCCTTCAGTGGGTTTTATGAAGAGCATAAGCACCTCTGAGCCATCCAGGCCCAGCATTAATTTAAATGTGGTGCTGGATCAGGCCCAGTTCAAGGGACTAATTGGTGGTCTGAACTGCAGAAGAGGTGAAGGGAAACAGGATAAAACCCAAATCAGTAGATATCAACCGCCAGCCCAACTATCCATTGAGGAGATTGTAGGCCTAATGGGATCAAAGGGGTGTGTAAATCAAGATGAGGCAGATATACAACAAATAAGAGTGCACAATAGAAACCAAGAACTGCTGGCTAGATTCAATGGTAAAGATCAGATGAGTTGTGAGTTGCAAAGGAAAAGAAGACCGGGGAAAAACAAGGCATGGTCTAGGCATGTTTTTCGAAGAGGGGCAATTTTTAGGGTAGCAGCAGTGGCTCTCTCATCTTCAATGTCACAAACCAACAATCATAACAGAAGCAGGAAGGAAAGAGATCACCAATATTTGCTAAATGAAGCTCAAGCTACAATCCATATTGGGAAAGCTCTGGGAGTGCACTTTGAAGGTAAGGAAAGAGAGGTGTCAGGGAAAATTATTACAATGGAAAAAAAAGTTAGGTCCCAGGCTCCAAAGAGGACTGTGGGGGAGGGTGCTTGAAGGAGCATTTTTCAAAGAAGTAGGTGTACTAATATGTTTGTAATGAAGTTAGCATCTTGGAATATCAGAGGGTTAGGTAGGATTGAGAAGAGAAGGAGAATAAAAGAGTTCATAAGGCAGAGAAAGGTTGACATGGTCCTGTTTCAAGAAACAAAAAGATTAGAAATGACAGAGTTATTTGTCAAATCTCTGTGGCCAGAAGAGTTGGTTGGTTCATGGCAGTGAATGCTGAAGGAAGTGCTGGAGGGTTGCTTTGTGTATGGAGGCCTGAGGTGTTTGCCTTGATTGACTGCTGCAGTAACAGAAATTGTATTATCCTCTCAAGTAAAATGCATAATGTAATTGAATGTGTGGTTGTTAATGTTTATGCACCCAATGACAGGGGTATGAGGAGGAATTTATAGCGATCCCGGGTTTACCCTTGTTGTACAGTGATCCAGACATGTGTCCGTGGATGTTGGTAGTTGTTTATTATCTTGTTTGCATCCTTTTTACTTTGTATATTGAGTTATAGGATGTGTTGGGCAGGTTTGCTACAGGTTGGTTGTGTTTGGGAGCCTAGTGTTGTTGCCCAGATTTTTGGACCTTCGCTCGAGCGAGGAGTTGGTCGCTCGAGCGAGAGTTGAGTTTGTGTCTGGTGGATCGAGCCAGAGTGGCTTCGCTCGAGCGAGCGATGGCGTCTGGTTCTGGACCTGAGAGTTGCCTTTCTTGGCTCGAGCGAGCTTCCTTCGCTCGAGCAGTCTGGGTTTTTCTTCGCTCGATCGAGAACTTCTTGGATCGAGCGAGAGTTTCTGTGTCTGGTCGCTCGAGTGACGAAGGCTTCGCTCGAGCGAGCGTATTTTATATCAGCAGACAGTAGCGTTTTTTAACTTAACTTTTTCACTTTCTTTTTCTTCCAAAACCTAGATCCGAGACCCTTTCTCTCTACACTTGCACTCTCTCTAAGATTTGATCTCCCTAGAGTGTGAATCTAGCCTAGGGCCTTTGTTAAAAAGATAGAGGGCGTTGAGAGCTTCGATTTAATCTGAAAAAGTTTGGATTTGGAACACGTTGATCTTCGAGTCTTCATCTCCTTTTTGGCTCAAACTTCAAGGTAGGGATACCCTACTCCTCTCTATGGGTTTTGTCTTTAAATTTTGGTATTTTGAGATGTTGGGGTTGTTTTGGTAATTTGGTGAAAGTTTGGGGCTTTTGTGTAATTTTACAAAAGTCGGGGTTTTATTTATAATAAACCTAGATGCATGTTTGGGAATAGAGAAATGGAATTAATGTTGAATCATTGATGAAAATGGGACCTAAGGGTTGAAATGGTAATTATGGAAAATGGCCTAATTACATTGTTTAATTAATTGGGATAATTAATTGGAAAAAATGAGGAAATGAAATGTTGATTGAATATCCATTTGTGCATTTATTTTCTGTTTAGAAATAACTGCCTTGGGCTATCGGTGGAGGATAGTCGTGATTGTTGTAGACAATGCATGATGATTAGGCAAACGGAAACTAATCAATGGAATGTGTCATGGAATTTGACTGTTGATAGAATACATTAATTGTATGTATTGAGTGATTGTATATAGAACCAATGTGTTTGTATACGTTATGTGTAGAGGAGGAGATGGGGGATGTACTCCGCGGTTTAGGGGAAGATAGGGGATGTACCTCTAAACCGGATAGTGTTGGGAGAAGATAGGGGATGAACTCCGTAGATACATCTCATATGCTTGTCTAGAGAAGTGATGATAGAGCTCATATGCTTATCTTTGTGAAGTGTGGATATAACTTATATGCTTATCTGTGAACATGGGATATTGTTGTTATACATATCTGTTGAGAATGTGGATATAGCTTCTATGCTTATCTGTAAATGTGGGATATAGTTTTTATACTTATCTGTTGAAATGATGATAGAGCTGACATGCTTAACTGTTGAAAAAGGGAAAATGAAAGGTAACTTGGACTCATAAGTCGTATGACATAAAATGTGATTTATGTGAATGTATCAGTGTTGGCCATCTATCAATTGCTAATATTTTAGTCATTGTCCATGGTTGGTTTAGTGTATTTCTACTGGGCTGTGGCTCACCCTATATGGGAATATCATTTTCAGGTACAGGTAGCATGCCACCTCCAAGGACATAGCTTGGGAGGCTAGAGGCGGACATACTTTTGTCGTTTTACTTTTGATGTATTACATGTAACTTCAAGCCAAGGGCTTAATGTGAAAACGAGTTAGTACTCTTTTGTTGTGACCAAGTGTTAACTTGGAAAGCTGTAAGCCCGTAGGGCATTTTGTTTTTGATGTTAACATGTAATACTTATGTAATGAAACTCTAATGAATAAAAGAATGAAGTTAGTTTATATGTCAATGCATGTCTTATTTGATGGGTTTAATGTTATTATTTTGAGGGCGTTACAGAATTTATGGGAGATTTTGGGTAATCTTAAGCCTAAGTTTCCCAAACCATGGTGTATTGGCGGAGATTTTAATGAAATTCGAGCAGTGGCTGAAAGAAAAGGCTGTATTAGGAAGGATGGTGGGATGAATGAGTTCAATGATTTGATAAATACATTGGAGTTAGTGGATGTCCCAATGATTGGGAGGAAGTATACGTGGTGCAACTCTCAGGAAGGGAAGAGGTGGAGTAGATTGGATAGATTTTTAGTTAGCCCAGAATGGTTAGAATGGTTCAATTTCAAACTGTGGGGGCTTTCTAGGTCATTATTTGACCACTGTCCTATATTATTAATGGAGGATGACAGGGATTGGGGGCCTAAACCATTTAGGTTTTTAAATGCTTGGGTTCTCCACCATATCTTTCTGGATAAAGTAAAAACAATTTGGGAAAATACTTAGGTGGATGGATGGGCTGGGTTCAGATTAAAGGTCAAACTGAAAGCCTTGAAGGAAGCTCTAAAAGTATGGAATATTGAAGTGTTTGGGAATGTTGAACATAAGCTCAAAGAGGCAGATGAGGCCATGCATGTACTAGACTTGGCGGCTGAGGAAAGGCCTTTGAATGATATTGAAATATCTAGAATAAGAGAGGTAAAAGGGGAGATTTGGAAGTTGAGAAAAATGAAGGAATGGATTTGGGTGCAGAAATCCAGAGTAAATTGGGCTTTAAAAGGAGATAGAAATACTAGGTATTTCCAAATTATGGCTACAAAAAGGTTGAATAGAAATCTGATGGATTCAATCATAATTAAGGGTACTTCTTACAACAATCCTCTAGAAATGAAACGGGAAATTGCAAGGTAGTTTGGAGAGGCATTTGCAGAAGCTTGGAGGGTTAAACCAAAGATTGGTGGAGCTTTTAGGCTAATTCCACCTTGTCTAGCTGAGTTGATGGTGAAAGAGTTTTCTGAATCAGAAGTATGGGCTGCTATTAAGGAGTGTGATGTGAATAAAGCCCCTCGACCTAATGGTTTTAGCTTGATTTGCATCCAAAAGGGTTGGAGGATAATAAAGGATGATATTCTCAAATTTATGGCAGAGTTTCATGAGAATGGGAAAATGGTAAAGGGCTTGAATGCTTCTTTTGTATCTTTAATTCCTAAAAAGGAAAACTCAATAAGTATCCAAGATTTTAGACCAATCAGTCTCATAAATTCCATGTATAAGATTCTATCAAAAGTCTTAGCTAGGAGATTAAAACAAGTATTACCAAGCATCATTAGCTTAGCACAGTCTGCATTTCTCAGTGGGAGAAGTATTCTGGATGGGATATTAGTAGCAAACGAAGTGATAGACTGGTGGAAAAGATCCAAGAATAGAGGGCTAATTTTAAAACTTGATTTTGAAAAAGCTTATGATACAGTAAATTAGAATTATTTGTTGGATATGTTGGGCAAGTTTGGGTTTGAGACCAAATGGGTGGAATAGATGACGTCTTGCCGTAGTTCAACTTCAGTTTCTTGTCTAGTTAATGGCTCTCCATCCGAGGAACTGTGTCCCCCAAAAGGCTTGAGGCAAGGGGATCCAATCTCTCCATTTTTGTTCATTATCGCAGCAGAAGGGCTAAATATGTTGTTATCAAGAGCTAGAGAAATAGGTTTGATAAAAGGGGTCATGATTGGTGATGAAGGAGTGAAGTTATCTCACCTGCAATTTGCTGATGACACAGTCTTATTTTGTGAGGTAGATTAGGTAGAGGTCTCAAATGTGAAGAGAATCTTAAGAAGCTTTGAGGTAGTTTCTGGGCTAAAGATTAATTATCACAAATCTACTGTCAGTGGAGTGGGTATTGATGAGGGTACAATTATTGAGTTTGCTTCAAAACTAAATTGCTTAAGTCAAACACTTCTTTTTAAGTACTTGGGTATGCCTTTAGGGGCTAATCCTAGAAAAAAGCAATTTTGGAAACCTGTGGTGGACAAGTTCAAGGCTAAATTAGCTGGTTGGAAGAGAAGGGTGCTCTCATTTGCTGGTAGAGTGACACTAATTAAATTTGTGCTCTCCAACCTGCCAGTGTATTACATGTCCTTATTTAAGATGCCTCAAGGAATTGCTAAGGAGATTGATAAGATATAATCAGCATTCCTATGGGGTGACTCTGATCTGAAGAGGAAGATTCACCTTGTGAAGTGGAAGGAAGCTACAGTGAGTAAAAATATTGGAGGCCTGGGTATCAAGGAGATTAAAATAGTAAATGAGAGTCTATTGGCCAAATGGTGGTGGAGGTTCGGGGTTAAAGATGATGCACTATGGAAAATTCTGATTTGTAGAAGGTATGGTGTTGAAAGTGGGAGATGGTTCCCTTTTCATATGGTGGATTGTAATAGCTCCTGGATCTGGAGTGATATACTTTTAGTAGCTCAATCTAATACCAGACTCTTTAATTTCTTCATGGAAAATGTAGAAATCAGAGTTGGGAGTGGGAGCAGGATTAAGTTCTGGGAGGATGTGTGGTTGGGCAAGTTCTGTTTGAAGAATAAATACCCAAGACTGTTTAGCATTTCCAATGATAAAGGGGTATCACTGAAAGACAAGGTGGTTTGAAAAGGAAACAGTGATGATTGGATCCTTAGGTTTAGAAGACTTTTACTGGCATGGGAGAAGGAGGAGTTATCAAAGTTGAAAGAGGAATTAGGCTCAGGACCAAGTATGTGCCCGGAAATTTTGGATAACATCAAGTGGAATGCTGATGCTTCTAGGTGTTTCAGTGTTAAATCAGTTTTCAACTGGTGTGAGCAACTTAATGGCTCTAGGCAAAGGCTATCTGGTTTGATCTGGAACAATGTAGCAGCTCCTAAAACTCAGTTCTTTACTTGGTTGGTATGGAAAGGGAGATTAAAAACAATGGATTTCCTACATAAGATTGGGGTTGTTGATCCAAGAGTGAGATTTTTATGTGCTCTGTGTGGAACATAGGAGAAGACATTAAATCATATAATGTTGCACTGTCATTTTGTATGGAATATATGGTCTAGCATAATAAAATGGTGGGGTATGCAATTGGTAGTGCCTGGTACAGTGGAAGGGGCTACTTCATTGGTGAAGTGACTGGAAGTTTAAAAAAAGGGAATTGCAGATATGGAAAACAATTCCTGTAACAATTTTCTGGTCTGTTTGCAAGCATAGAAATGATGTCATTTTCAATGAGGTTCAGCCCAACAGTGAAGATCTGTGTGAGATTATCAAGGTTAGGGTGGCCATGTGGTTGAAGTCAACTATGGTGGGAATATATTATTCAATTAATCAGTTTGTTTCAAACTTACAACAGATCAGGAGATATATAAAGTGATGGGTACTGCTGTATAAAGTAGAATAGTTGTGATGCTGCTAAGTGATCTTCTGGGGTGTAGTAGTGGAGGTGTTGAGGTGTTAAGCTGAGGATGGTTTTGGGCAGTCACAGATTTCAGGAGATGCACCAAGTGAGGTGTGCTTCTAATGGTTGCTGCTGCTCTTGGAACTGTTTTGTGGCTGCTGTATATTACTGGATAAAGCAGTTCTGGTTTGTGCTGCTGAATTCATAAGGTGGTTGTTGTCTGTGGTCTGGTCTGCTTTGATTGTGCTGTGTTTTTGTTGCTCTTGTATTGCAGTAGGAATGTGCTTTAATTGCTCTTGTTTTGGCACCACTAGTTGGCTCTCAGTTTAAGGGATTGTTGTTTTATATTGTAGTAGGAATGGTGGATGAATGGTGGATCTGCATCAGATGCTCTGTCCAGTTGTTTTGTTTTGGCAACTCCAGCTGGTTCTCTTGTGTGTGTGCCTAAATATGTTGCTGAGTTGTGTTCAATTGGTGCTACAATTTGGAAGTTGGAGTTGAGCCTCTAATTAAGCTCGGAGGACGCTTACTTGGGAATCCTCTAACACATTGGAGTTGAGCCCCTAATTTGTGTTCAATGGGCTTTTTGAGTCAACAAAAACAAACTGTCATGGTGAGTATTTGGATGTAGATCCCAACAATGCACCATGTACTAAGGATCTTCAACTTGCCACAAATTGGAATGATCTGTTGGCTATGGACTGCTAATATGCTGAACAAATGCTCCAATAGAGGGGTTATGGATGAATGGTCTTCAAGGGCTGGTACACTGGTTGCTACTGTTTGTTTGCTTTTGTTTTTGCTCTGCATGTTCGTTACTCACTAACTTCGAGCTTGGAGTTTGTGCTAGCAAATGATTTGGTGTGCATCTAGGTGCCAACCTAGTTGGGATCTGGATGTTTCACTATGATGCTTTTTACACCCTCCTCTTTATTGATGTGCGTTATCATACTTTGTATGTTTTTCTATCAATAAAGTTTTTTTGCTAATAAAAAAAAAAAAGAATTTTTTAGCGGTAAAAATTTTTCCCGACACACTTTTAGCTACGGGTTACCGACGAAGCTCTACGGGTTGGCAAAGCTCTTTGCCGACGATTTTTGCCTTTTGGCGACAAATTTTGTTGAGTTGCCAAAACTGTTTTTTGTATAGTCACATCATCACCACCGTCCATTAGTTGATCCACAATCTTCCAGTCACTTAACCATATCATATATTTGCCTTCATCTCCTATGCCTTCAAACCCTTGGTCTTGTTATTGACTCTAATACATTCATTCACACATCTACTTCGATTTCATATAATCCGCGAGGCAAATGCATAGGAAATGCACACGTTCATGCCCCGAATCTTGGCATTAGGAGATGAAGGCACATTAAAAGATATCGAGGAACTCTTTTTTTAATGTCCAACCAACCTGGAACTTCATTCTCGGAAAGAAATGTGTTGTCTATGCCACATTCATAGAGTCCCTGTTTGATAGAAATCACAATTATATTAATGGAACACAAATAAAATACAGAGTTATATTAATGACACAAATTGTTGGATACATTCAATCCCATGTGAGTGGCTAACCCACTTTAGAGAGAGTGGGGGTGGCACCTCCCCACTAACCAAGTCTTAACTCCTCTTCCTGCCAATTGTGATTAAACTCCTGTCCCTCAATTGTGTATGAATTGAGGTGAGGAGGAGAGGATGAAAGAGAGCAAACCAAAGAGAGTGAGAGATGTGAGGCAGAGAGACCGCCTCTCTCAGTGTGAGCGAGGGACACGGGAGAGTGGCTGAATGAGGATAGTGTGAGCTCCTCCTCTATTGTAATCTTTTTGTAATCTCTCCATTGTTATAGTGATAACCAGTTACTCTCCCGTGCCGAACCACGTTAAATATGGTGTCTCCTCGAGTGTGGGTGTGTTTTACTGCTTGGTATAATTTTCAGGAAGGTCTTGGCGGGATCCCCAATCCCAACAAGTGGTATTAGAGCCTTGTCGGTAGCGTTTCGGAACAAAAATAGAGTGTTTTTCGAAACTGCCCAGAAATCAAATTGCTCGAAATTAGGTTTTGAGAATACCAAGAGCAAGGTCTCGATGAGAGGAGTCTAGAAATGCAAAGCAGAGCCCCATAGGAGCCTACACGCACCCTCACGCGCTGTCGAAGGAAGAAGAGGAGTGGGGAAGAGGTGAAGAAAATCAAGTTGAAAAGGTTCAAATAAATATTTTTAGGAACCATGCATCATAGGGTATGTCCCTGGCAGAGTGGTTTGTGCGCATGGAGAGTAAGCCCTTGGTGTTCGAGCCCCAGGAGCAATGCAAAACATACTTTTTTTTTTTTTTTTTCTGTAAAGGGTCTCAAGTGATGACGTCAGCATGACGAAGGGATGACAAGGACTGATGTGAGGTGATGTCAGCGGACGAAATATTCCTTTTGGTTAACAGAATATTTCCTAGAGTTTCTAAAAATTACTGAATGGCCCAAAATTATCAATAAATTTCATATTGGCCCCTTGAAGTTTGGTAAATTGCAATCTGGTCCCTAAAGTTTTTAGAAATTACAATTTGGTCCTTGAATTTTTGGAAATTTTCATTTTAGCCCTATAGTTAGTGAAATTACAATTCAGCCCCTATTGTTTGGGAAATTTGTAATTTTGCCCTAGGTTTCGGGGATGTTTTCAGTGAGGTTCCGGAAGTGCAGCGAAGGTTGGTCCTAGCTAAACGGACCGTTCCGGATGCAACCGCGACGTCAAAATAGTGAAATTCTGAACGGTTTTTAACGATTGTCAAAACATGGGGGTTTGTCATCTTCAATAGTCGAAGGAAGGTTCCCAAATATTGTGGAACGCTGTGGATTCATTGAAGAGGTTAGAATTGGCAGATTCTAACTAGATTGGACAACCATATACAGATCGAGATAGATCATTGGAGACCAAAGAAGATCAGGCTTGATCAAATATCGAATCGAAGGAGATCATGATTGGTCAGGGACGATCAGATGATTGTAGAGATGATTATCTCCGGAGTTGATCGAAAGATCTGGTTCAATCAAAAAGTCTATTCTTCGACAGACAGATGATTTGGCAACAAGTACAGGCTCAAGGAAATGCTATAGCTGTTGGAGCTACTGTATACGAGTAGGTACTGGTGGTATGTGGACGTGTAGAACAATAGTTGCAGAGGAGCATACTAAGCGCAGAAGTACATATGCAGACGCGCAACAGTGCAAGGACACGCTAGAGTGTCATATAGAGGCGCAAGAAGAGTGTGTAGTAATGGGTTGTTGAAAGTTCACAGGAACTTCCAGATAGAGAAATTGAGACGGATAAAATGCAACAGTGCGTGCCAAGGAGTGGCAAGTCTCTTTTCTCTATGGTAGTTTCTTTATTTCCATGGTAGCGGAGGATAGAGTTGATGCGGATTTCTCAAGCGAGCTCAATGTAAGGAGACCAGAAGCCATGGGTGCGAGCACTATGCAAGTAATTCCATAGCTGACGATGCTTTGACAGATGGAGCTACTGTCAACCATCAATCTGCTGGATAGCAAATCAGGGATTGCAAAAGCACAGACAACGAGCATATATGAAAATGCTAGGAGGTTGTTCAGAAGTGCAGAGGGCAAAGGGTGATAGTTCAGAGGAAAAGCTCCGAGTCAATAAGACAGAGGACGTTGATGGGATAAACAACGAGTTTTCTATTGCTCCAATGACTAGTCCTACGAGGTAATGCATGACAGTCGAGGGCATCCCAGCAGGGGGTGCAGGACATCCAATTAGGGGGTGCAGGATATCTTGGTTACGCAAGTTCAAGCATAACAGGTGAAAACATCCGAGTCAAGAAGCGTAGAAGAGAACTGTGGGAGATAGAAGCAGAGACTCTCTCCAAATCAGAGAGTGGTGTGAGTTGAGTTGTGGATGTAGGATTCCCTCCCCCTCTTATATCTCTAGTGTGTTATCTCTAGCTTTAAGGGATGCAGCGTCTCAGTGAGAAGATGAAGATTCTGTTGAAATTTAGGCGTGACAAGATTAGCAATAGTGTGTGCACTGGATCACCTAACATGGGTTGAGGGGGTGATTTGTTGGATACATTCAATCCCATGTGAGTGGTTAACCCACCTTAGAGAGAGTGGGATGGTTGGAGAGCACTTTAGAGAGAGTGGGGGTGGCACCTCCCCACTAACCAAGTCTTAACTCCTCTTCCTGCCAATTGTGATTAAACTCCTCTCCCTCAATTGTGTATAAATT